CACCAACGTCATCTTTGTAAAAATCTTTCGAAGAGTGAGACTCTGCTGTCCCTCCTTCAATTTCCAAAGCGGGGCTCTCATTATCTTTAATGGATATAAACTCTTTTTCCCCACTTTCCGAATCTGTTTCTAGATTAATCACTGGTGGGGTGTACACTTTTTCCTCGATTTCGCTTTCAGAATCGTCATTGGCAGATGGAAAATATTTTTCTTCCACTTCATTGCTGTCTGATTCCTTTGGCAGGAAGTGGACTACCTTTTCTTCGATTTCTGACTCATGATTTGTCCGTAAAGACTCCGCCGGCTGCTCTTCTGAATCAGATAAGAACTCCATATGATTATCACTTAAGGAATCAGTTTTGTCCTCCATTTCGGTCTTTAGTTCGATATCCTTCAAGAACGACTCTTTAAGTGGTATGCTGTCTGGTTCTTGGAGTTCCTCCGGTTTGTCTTCAACCAGCTCTTGCTTTACGAGATCTGTAGAGGGAGGAGCCGCTATCAAGGAATTTGCTGGACTTGAGAGAGTTCCTAAATCGACTGGTATCTCTGGACTTTTTCTTAGATTGAGAAGAGATTCGTCCGTTTGCTCTGTCTCTTCCGTTCCGGCTGTCTCTTCCTCCGGCGTGTCGCTAAAACCCTGGCCATTTGCCATGGCTAAATCTATCACGTCATCGTTCTTTTTCGGCTTTCCATCCTCATTTTCCTCAGCGTTGTTGTTCTCTCCATGTTGGTGGCTCTCGCTTTCCTCCTTCGCCAAGTCCAGCACATAATGAAGTTCTTCGATGTCGTCTTCTTCGCCGACAGCTGCTCCTCCCCCGGTGCCCGCTCCCGATCCCGTTTCCGATCCTGTTCCCGCTTCTCCTTCATCTCGGTTAGACGTTAGCTTGGCTTGTTGCTGATCCAATGCTTCCATCATATTTTCTGCATTCACACGCTGTCAGCAAAAATAATAATATTTAAGAAAAGGGGTTAAAGCAAACAATCAGGAGCGCCAATCAATTAAACGCACTTTGGGCAAAAATTATTATATTCATTACCTTTGCATGCCGTTGGCGTTGAATCCGTTCCGGTTCTCGCTCTCTCTGTTATATGCTTTTCGTTGTTCTCTACGCAGCTGAAAGCGAAATGAATTTATCATTACGTGAGATATTAGGTTTGGTATTTTGACAAAAAAAAAAATTAGAATGACAGCTAAGTCAATCGTTTATGCGGGGGTATATACGATAATTTGTTTCCGATTATTCACTGCATAAACATTTGGATTGCACAAAAATCGCCGGTCATTGGGTGATTTTGTAGCCCTTGTGCAAAAGCAAAGCCAAAATATTTGAAAATACCAAAATAAATGGTAACAAAATGGCAACGAGAGAGCCACTTACTGCTAAAAATAAACGAATTTACTTGAAATATTCTTGGAATGGACACTACAATCAAAATGTACAGCAATTATGCACGTTTATTTACCTGCTCTCCTCCTGTGCGTTGCCGTTGCTGTTGTTGTTTTTGTCGTTTCTGCTCAGCGTATTATTGCTGCTGTTGTTGTTGTTGTTGCTGTACCCCTGCTTAGGTAGAATTTTCCCACAAATTGTAGGCGGCAGAAGGAGAGAAGAACGGTACACAGAGTGGAAAGGCAAGAGAGAGAGAGAGAGGAGAGCGATGAATTTTACGCGCGCAAACAGCAAGGAGAGAACGTAGCCAAAACAACAACCGATTTCACGGAAGTTCGCTGCACAACTGAACCAAAAAGAGACTGAAACCGAGAGGCCGAGAGATTTTGCCAGCGGATTGGATTGGACGGGCCGAGACGAAACGGCGCGGAAGGAGAGCGGGGCGCCCCCACCCCTCGACGAACTTATACAATTAACGCCTGGTTTCAATTGTTTTTAAACTCGCAGGACACGGATACGTAGTGCAAACGGATTTCACAAGTTCACGCAATTGCCTTTTAGCTTAGTTCCGACAAACGATATTGCCGAATTGCCTTTTCGCCTTTTTGCGCGTCTCTTGTGCGGGGCAAAAAATTTTCTTCTTTTTGCACGTCGCCTTCCACGCTATGCATTTTATGTTCTGCTCGTTTTGTTCGCGCACTTTTTCACCGTATTCTCGTAGCAGCTCGTGGAGTAGCGTATGAGGATTGGATATTTTACAATTTGAATGCGGCAAGCGCTCGAATAACGCGTTAAAAACAAGTTTTTAGCAATATTTTTCGTCTTTTTTACAGCCATGCCATTGAAACACGCGCAGAAGCTAGTGATGGACGATAGTTCGATAGCTAGCGCAGCGTGATGGTGTGACTGCCAAAAATGCAACCGTGCGAAGGCGATCGCTGCGTGGTTCGCTTGCGGTTCAGTGTAAGCATATCGATAGTTGGCCAGTACCAGCGATTTCTGTTGAAATGTGATGTACTAGAGCTATTTAAAAGTAATATCTTGGGTAATTGTATAAAATTCAAACGGAATATTATAATTCGTTCTGCATCGCAGTTTTTAGTCATAACCATTATCCATATTTAGCTATCGATAGTTTTTGCCATCCCTGAATCTAGGTTCAGTGTCATACCGATTTGACAAGCTCTTTCCGTTTCCTTTTCGCGTGAACGTCCAACATGAGAGCCAAGGGATTGGTTAGTATTTGGCAAAAAAATGATTTAAACAATCATTATTTTAGTTTAAAATGCGTGCAACAGATAAGCAAACATATAGCACATTTGGCACAAACGTTGAAATCCTAACTACTCCGTAATTTTTGTGTGAAAAACAACTTGGGAGTGAAAAGTGTCGTGGACAATGTTTGTCAAGCCACATTTCTGAAAAAATGGTCCTAATCACCTCAGGGATGTAATGCAAATAATTGTGAAAAATTTTTATGCAAGACAAAGCTAAAACTAACTATTTAGAATATGCCCATATAATAGATATACAACTGCTGTGTGCCGCCGATAACATAACCTTTAAAAATCAACAGCCATGCGTGTGTTTGTTTGCCTGCCACTGTTCGCATTTGTTTACAATTGTTTTAATTATACTCATTGAACTAAATCATATCCCATTTGCAGTTGAAGGAGTACGAGGTCGTGGGCCGCAAGCTGCCCAGCGAGAAGGAGCCCCAAACTCCCCTCTACAAGATGCGCATCTTTGCCCCCGACAACATCGTGGCCAAATCGCGCTTCTGGTACTTTTTGCGCCAACTAAAGAAGTTCAAGAAGACCACCGGCGAGATCGTGTCGATCAAGCAGGTGTACGAGACGTCGCCCGTGAAGATCAAGAACTTCGGCATCTGGCTGCGTTACGATTCCCGCTCGGGCACCCACAACATGTACCGCGAGTACCGTGACCTGACTGTCGGCGGTGCCGTCACTCAGTGCTACCGCGACATGGGAGCCCGCCACCGTGCCCGTGCCCACTCCATCCAGATCATCAAGGTGGACTCTATCCCTGCCGCCAAGACCCGCCGCGTGCACGTGAAGCAGTTCCACGATTCAAAGATCAAGTTCCCTCTGGTCCAGCGTGTCCACCACAAGGGCAACAGGAAGCTGTTCTCGTTCAGGAAGCCCAGGACCTACTTCCAGTAGGATTCTCCTGCATCCTTTACCTATGACTTAGTGGATTTTTTCAATAAATGAGAACGTTGAAGAGTACACTAGTTGTCAAAGCTTCTTTATTTGAGTTCTCCACACGCGTATATTACAATCTTTTGGCTGGGAGTGCCCGACTTGGAGCCACAACGTTCCATCTTGCGCACCACCTCGGCGCCACTAATGACATGACCAAAGACGACATGTTTGTTGTCCAGCCAATCCGTTCTGGAACAAAAGAAATGTAATTAGTGGGAATCAGTTTATGTTAGGTTGTAACACCAACTAACTTCGTGGTGCATATAAAAAACTGCGAGCCGTTTGTGTTGGGGCCCGAGTTGGCCATAGACAGAGTTCCAAAGCTGTTGTGTTTCAGATTGAAGTTCTCATCGTTGAATTTTTTGCCATAGATGGACTTGCCGCCGGTGCCATTGTTGTTGGTGAAGTCGCCTCCTTGGCACATCTGTTGAAAGAAAAAGAGTGTATTAAAATAAGACTACGTTGCTAAATTATAAACTTACAAACTCGGGTATCACGCGGTGGAAGGAACAGCCTTTGTAGCCGTAGCCCTGCTCGTGGGTGCACAATTGCCGAAAGTTCTCCGCCGTCTTGGGCACCACATCTGCCCGTAGGAGCATCACAATGCGACCGGCGTCATTGCCACCAATCCGTACGTCAAAGAACACTTGTGGATTGCGTTTCTCTGCTTTTTCGATGACTGCCGGCCCCGTGGAGGGCGTTTCCACTTTCTCTGCCTCCGGTTCGCCTTCCGGCTGCAATGTGGCTCCCGCATGCTTCTGCAACCAGTCGTCATCTGCCCAGACAGGCTTGAAACTGTCCTCCTTGACGCGCACGGGTTTCGCCAAATTCACGCGAATTGTGCGGCCGCAAAGCTCGGAGTCGTTCTGGAAATAGTTGCTATGTTGAACTTCTCCTGCTAGTTGGCTTGATCTGCTTGCTCCTTCTTACCATATTATCAATGGCAGCAGCCGCATCTTCGCTCTGCTCGTATTCTATAAAGGCGAATCCACGGTGTCGTTGGGATTCGAAGTCCGCCGGCATTTGGATATCGGCAATATCGCCAAAGGGTATGAAGGCATTGTTCAACAGTCTCTCTGTGACCTCGTCGGCCAGGCCGCCCACATACACGGTGCGTTTGTCGTTAGCCATGGTTCAATTAATTCATCAAACCACAAATAAACCAATAAATGAAAACAAACAAGCTGCAAGCAAAATGTATGTTTATGCCTGACAATCGATAGGGCTGCATTGAAAATTTCCTGTAATTATCGATTGATGAATTCACTTGAAATGTAATCGGTAGCAGAGTTTTCTACCAAGGTTGGCGACTTGCATATTCTTTATCGCCTGGCAGTGCCGTACAAATTCAAAACGAAACCCGCCAAATCAATTAAAACAAAAGTAGTTACCCGCTGGGCCTTAAATTATTTATTGATTAAGATAAGCTACACTAAGATTATGTTATTACTGATCCGCTTTCGCTGCCGCAAAAGCCCTCAAGGCTCGTATTGCAAGCGCTGGTGAGATTTTGCATGCTCGTTTGAGGCCACAAAAGCTGGAAGACCGTTACACAATAGCCCGGCACAAAGGCAAAGGATGCGTAGAGGATCAGGGAGACAAAGCTGCCAAGAAGGACATCTAAAAGTGAAAAGAGCATGGTGCGACATAACAATCCATTAGCAGGTTCCGTGACTAAGACCGCCGAGTGACCGGCATAGATAAGATATCGATGCGTAAAGACAATATATCGCGCCAAAGTTGATACCCTGTAGACTCGAATGGTCCCCTTCCAAGGGCACAGTCCATAGGTACTTACGGAGGAACACCTTTTCCCACGGCTCACAGATGGCGATCTGTGTGTTCAGTTCGTAGAGAGTGTACAGCCATTTCACATAGCGCTTGAATTTCGCATAATCCTCGGCCAGCTTTGGGAACATGCTTTTCGACATGGGCTTGTGCAATCGATGTCAGGCGATGTCGACGGTGTCAGGGTGCGCGGCGAACTAACCCAGCACCAAGTGCGACACCTGGTACCTGCGTCCCCGTCACCGCCTTATCACTGCATACAACTACACGTTTTTTCTTTATTCTATAACCACACATATATATTTATATACATTTTTCGGGCTGTAAGCCAAATTAAATAGATTTCATTTCGGCCTCTTTCGATCGTCAGTTGGGCGTTGCGATAAAAATCAGTCCATGCGGCTACGCTTGCACTTGTTAACTTAACCGATAGCGGATCCCCAATGGCAGGCGGATTGCCTCTGGCATTTCTGCGTGCGGACTTCTGGGCTGTGACTTACTCCACCAGTGGCACCATGGAGAGCAGAAACAGCCACACGGACAGCACATCGTTGGCGTGGGCGTGGAGGTGGACGGCCACACAGAACTCCACCGAGGCGTCGTGGTTGTAGTGTATGCAGGTGGTCCGGATGCGCTCCGATATCGCCGCCAGATTGGTGTACGCAAAGTTAAGGGTGAAGCCGTAGAGCTGCGGGCAAACGGGGTTAGTGATCGATTGCGATAGTGATTGATGAGTGGGGTAGGGTAGGGCAGGGGTCGGCTGGTGACGACCGACTGATTCACCAGGTGAATCGCTGTCGTTATAAATATCTAAGTAATTGCTGCCTTCCCTGTTCTCTGGTTAAGTTATGGATCTGAACTACAATGTGATACAAATAGTCATATATATGAAGTTTCATATCTATGTTATGGTTGTGTGGTTCTGTTGATAATTATTTTTAAATTTTCCAGCATTAAATTTCTTGATAAGACAAATCTTGATATTTCCTATTCATATCTATTCAATTGAAAAGATTAGAAAGCTTACCCTGTAGTTGGGAAATTCTCGTTCCAGTTGCTCGCTGAATATGGGCTCATCATATCGGCCTCTGGAAAAGGTGGATAAGTTTTCCATGTCGCAAAGGATCCTCTGGAGGCGCGGCTGAAAGGCTCTGTGGACTGAAGCTATTAGATATCGCTAGTCCATAAGTGATTGGGGGAATTACCAACCGATTCCAGATGGTTTTCCTGGTGGTGCGCCACGCACTGATCTTCTTCATGATCTTGCGCTCAATGTGCTTCTGCAGCTGGCTGAGTTCGTAGCTCTTCTTGTAGGCATAGTCCAGCTTCTGGACTCCACTTTGGGGCGCAGGAACTCGCCGGCTGAAGAGTGGAAACCAGCAGGCGCCATCCTGAAGACTAAAATGGGTCATGCTGACACGGGTTTCGGTCTGAATATTGAAATAAATCTGGGAAATAACAGGGGATTAGGGCAAATGTTAAAGGACAAAACAACGCCCAACTCACATTCTGCTTTCCCACCACACAATATATTCGTCTCAGCGGACAATGCACGTCCTGAAGTTGGTATCTCTTTCCAGTGGCAGGGGAAACGAGGAAGAGCTCAGCCGTTTCCGGCTGGCGATAGAGCACAAAGGAGCACTCGCCATGGGGACAGGCCACTCCCAGAATTAGCCAGCACTCCAAGCCCAAGGATAGCATGTAGTTACAGAGAAGGACACCCAGATCCTTGACCGAGCACCACGTACTGTCCAGCAGGGACTGATTGTCCAGCCAAACGCCACGGAATCCCAGGCAGGGATCATAGCTGCGCAACTGGCTCAGCAGCGAAACGTACCGAAAGGAACTCTCTAGAGGACTCTCTCCGCTGGCCACAGCTGGCGGAAGGGGCACTGCATCGAGGAGTCTGGTGAGACACACCCTCTTCCCTTGGGCAGTGCACACCAGTGGCTCCACATAGCGCTGCGGCTGGGGAAGAAGTTGTTGGAGCTCCAATCTCCTTTCGTCGAGGTATTGCTGCAGTTCTGGTTTCTCCGCACAGGCCAAGGCACAGGATTGCAGGGGCATTAGGTCTGCACCGCTGGGTTCGATGCTCAGGTAGAACCACAGGTGCACTGCCTCTTTGAACTCTGGATACTGGTCCGTTGACATGTTAGTGACGGAGTCTATTAACGGCCGTTTGTAGCCCACCAAAACCTTGGGCATGGCCAACTCGATACAGCCCTCGAACTTGCAGTAAAGGATATAGTTTAGATGGCTGGATGGCTAACATGAAGAAATAACTCACCTTGCGACTGGACAGCAAGCAGTTGATGGGCACCCGGAATTCGCCCAACCAGTTGCACTGCACCCGCTGGTACAAATCCGATGCCTCGTCGCTGTACTGCTGCTCAATCAATTCGTCGAACAGACTGATCTTCAAATCCTCGCGGAGATCGCCGAACTGACTCTGGATCTGCAGCTGCAGTTGCTCGTTCCAGGTGGGATTACTGCCTTCGGCGGTGCGACTGCGGCACAGACGCTGTCCATAGCTCAGGGTCACAAAGGGTCGCACGTTGGAGTACATGAGGGCTGGAATGGGAAATCGGTGTTATAAATCATCCCATGCTGTCCAAGCCCCTTTCCATAACAAGGTCTTTAAAAGATAAAACACTCTTGTAGTTTGTATCTAATATATCTATATATAATATAATGTATCTATCGAACTCAAATCTCCTTTTGATAAGCGAATTCGTAACTATTCTATCTGGAATTTGAAGATTGAAAGGTTTTGGAAAAAAGCTGGCAATCAAATGAGTTAGTGGACTAGCTGAACAGTACTCACTCTGTGTGACAAACAGACTGGTGCTCATGTCGCCACCAGCGCTGGAGCGCCGCTCATTCAGACTCAGGATGTGGCGACTGCGCACTGGGACTCCAGTGGCCCGCACCACGTGGAGCGAAACGCAGAAGTTCTTGAAGAGATCGGTACCGGATTGCCGGCCCGACCAAACAGTTGGTTCCCTGGGCAGGGAAGCGCGTTGACCTTGGAAAACTGAGCAAAAAGCCCGCCAAAGGGCTGTCCAACCGGTAGCCGATGAGCGATCCGAATCCTCGGCCAGGAGGAGCAGCGGCAGAGGCGTCTGCAAGGTCTTGGCCCGTCTGGCACTCTGGCTCGTAATCACCTCGTAGAGCAGCTGGAGGAACTTTCGCCCTCGATGCTTGTGCAGATCGATGGCATTCCAGTAAGTGCCCGGTTCCAGGAGCTGCACTGTTTCCCGGCCATCCGGTAGGGGTTCCTCCTCTGAGATTTCCTGCTCCAGGGCGGGCACGAAGCGCAGCTGTTTGGTATGCAGATTTCTCTGCTGATGGCGGGAGTGCAGTAACTGGAAACGCCGGTTATCCAGAAGGAGTTCCAAGCTACAGAATTGAAGCTGCTGTTCAGCGAATATCAGCGGAGGTAGTAGACTCTTCTTAGTCCTTCCGCTAGGCGGTCTGGGAGTCACTAGCTTTTTGGACGATGGCGGCAGAGCGGGTAAGCTCTGCGGCATCAGGGTCTGACGCAGTGCATCCGGCAATCTTTGCACCTCGTCCAGGTAAAGGGAACCTCCCAGTCCTTCCGTGGATCGGTACTCGTAGTACATATAAACATCACCAGCCAACTGGGTGGAGGACAAAGTCCGGAAACTGAGCTTCTCCTGCACTGCATCATCCTTGGAGCTCAACAGAAGCGGAGTGCTCATCTGGGCCAGGCGGCGACTCTTCGGGGTCAACGTGGACTTCTCATATAGCTTGAATAAAATGCATATGTATAAACCAGTTTTGCTCTGAAGCCGACTGTTTACCCACCCATATGTTGAGGTTCTCCGGAAGAGACCGTTCCAAAAGCACTCCAATACACTCGTTGATGGATATCTGGAGATCCGGTTCCAGGCGGTAGCTCCTGCTTTGGCCCACAAATTGTCCGTCCAGGAATATTTTTAGGAAGTAGTTGCGCGCCTTGGGCAGTTGATCACCGCCTGGAATGGACAAGCTGGCAGCTGCTTCATCCGCATGCAGGCGAAAGACCTCCACGAAAGGCTCCTCCGGATCCTTAAATGCCTTGTCGTACTCCTTCCGCAAGCTAGCCATAATCCTATCAAATTGTGGTTTCCGTGGTGGCTTCGATTGGCTGGTCGATGTGCGGCTGTGTGACTTTTGGTCGCTCCACAAGCGCAGTCGGGTGTAAAACACCTCCAAGTGCTCGCGATACACCTCGGTCAGATCCGTTTCGAAGCTCTCTTTCCACGAGCTGTAGGAGGCCTCCAAGTCGGGAGGATGCACCACACGGAGGCCAAGTTGGAAACGTGTGCACTGGAATCGCTGCTGACGGCGCAGTTCCTTCAGCTTGGCCCACTCCTTCAGCAGGCGCTGGAGAAGATTACGCTGGGCAGCCGACTCGGCGTAGTAACGTTGCCTCAGCTGACGGGTCAGCTTTAGTTGACGCTTCACCTCTGCCGTCTGATCCTGCCCAGCTGAGGCGAGCAGCTTGAGTGCCACCTGGCGGGCTATCTCCAGTTCCTCCCTTAGTTTCCGACAGATTTTCTGCTTCTGCTGTTGGCTGTACACGTCGAAGAGATCCTCCAGCTGTTGAGCCAGTCGGTGCTCCTCCAAGAGTTGAGGGTGCAAGCTGAATCGAAGTTGTTTGAGGCACAATTTCAGGCATCGCCTGGAGGGCAGACCCTTCAACTCGCTTGGAGGCAGGGGTGGGAAGAACACGCTTTGAAACTTCCTATGGCACACACTGCGATATAGATGTTTGTCCATCAGGAATCTCGCAGGATTCTGCCCACTTAGCTGACCAATTAGATTAGAGCCCAGTTTTCCGGACTCGCTTTTCGACTGCTCCTGGTAACGGTTCAGCATACGGATCTGGAAATCTTTCAACTGGGTGTCACCCAAATGTAACTGAAAGTGGAGGGTATTACTCGGTCGGTAGAGTAAACTCTCATCATAATAGTGGCGCTGCTTGAAGAGCTGACTCCAAGCCAAAGGAGGATCTTGCAGATCGATTTGTATAAATGTCTGGGAGGACGAGTGCGATGGTTCCGCAGCCAGTTCCCCACCAGAATCTTCGTCCCTCTCCTGGCCAACATCTTGGGCAGAAAAATCGTTCTCCGCCTGCATATCACCCTCAAATCCATGAAAGAACTCCATGCCAAGCGCCTCCATGTCTTGTTCTTGCCCAGAGATTGTGCCTTCCGTCGCCCTTATCAACTTCTGCACCTCCTGCTCCCTTTTTCGATACCCTCTGGTGGTATGGGTCTTGCGTTTCTTTTTTGCAGCCTTCTTGGGTAGAGCGGCGTCCATACTTGTGAAGTCCAAGCAGAAAATGCAAAGCAAACAAATATTACGCCTGCTTCGACCTTTCAACTGGTTGCTAATGGCAACTGACATGACCAGCCAGTGTTACACCTGCTCACCTATCGTCTATCGCCTTTAATGTCAGTAAAAACATACCCCAGAACATAATTTGTTTTCGTTTTCTTTTTGCTGTTTACATACAAATACATGGCAAATCTATTATTAGGCATACTGGAAGGAGGGGTGCGCTTAATAAAGGTCATTTAATTAGATGTTGTGTTCGCAATTGCTGAGTTGAAGTTTACTTTTGGGCTTATAATTCGTATGTTGTATGTATAGGCAAAGGTTCCGCTTAGAGTTGTTTGCAAGCAGACGCGTGCTACTGTATTGGATAATGGATTAGGGCCCTGGCATCAATCAGGGCGTAGACGCGTCCCGGACACGAAATGTGAGGCGACAGGATCGCTTCGAAGTAGGCAGGGGACGACAGCGTTGGCGTGGCGTTGGGGGGGTCGTCTACTCCAGCAGGGTGACTTCTTCCTTGACTAAAAATTCAACAATTTCTTCATCCACTTCGTCAGTTTCCAAGTTGTCTGTGTCCACATCTGTTGGGCAAGATAATATATATGTATTTTTCGAATTTAGCAGAATTATACTATTTCTTATTGCTGCATTAGAATACTTACGCCCTCGCAGCATGATTCGACGACTCTTCTGATCCGCCCACTCGGCGATACGCTTGTTGCGATACTCCATAAAGGTCTCGCGCAGCTGCGAGCGCTTCTCGAGCAGCTCCTTGGAGGCACGGGTAAGGCGCAGGCGATCCTTTTGCTCAAAGGCAGCGTAGTACTTCTTCAAGTTCTTCTTGATCTCCTTCTGCTTCTCTTCGCCAAGCAGGGTGGGAGGACGAGGGCGCCACAAGAACTGCACAAAGTTCTTGAGGATGGTACGCTTGATGATGCGGCCCTGGAAAGTGTACATGTTGAAGCCGGTGTCCTCCTTCACCTTCCATGACGACACTCCAGTCACAACGTAGCGTCCAGTGGGATCCCACTCGACCTCAGAGGCGCGGAAATGATCGGGCGATGCGCTGATGATGTAATCGTTGGTGGAGTCCACAAACTCGAAGGTGCCCATGGTGAGGTTCGCCATCACGATAAACTGACCGCGTGGCGACCAGAACAGATGCGTGCAAGATTTCTTTTCCAGACGCTTCACCAAACTGGGCTTCACGCCCTTGTTGACCTCGTAGAAGCTTACATTCGACGAGTTTTGTTCGCCGTGAATGATGGAGAACTTGTTGCCTATGGGCTCCCAGGCAAAGGCTAGAATGAGCTCGCGAATCTCCACAGAGTCAACGGGAATCTCCTTTTCGCGCATGTGGAAGATCTCGAAGTTGTAGAACATTCCCAGAAACTTGACGTCCAGGTCCTTCTTGTCCTTCTTCAACTTTGAGTAGCGATCCACCTTAACGCACAGATAGTCGCCGGACTTTTGCCAATGAAGCTTGCAGTCGGCCACATGGAAAAGGTTCTTGTTACGGATCTCACGCTTCTTGGGGATCTCCATTAAGGTAACGCGGGCGGGTATTTGGTTCTGCTCCTCCACCCAGTAGGCGATCACGTTGTCTGTGGGGGACCAAGAGAAGCCGCGAATGCCTGGAATCTTGATGGACTTTAGGTCCAGAAGAAAGAAAGAGGGTGTTTCGTAGATGTGGATCGAATTCTCTCCCATGCGGGCCACAAACTTGTCGTCGTGCGACCAACGGAACATGGAAAGAACCGACATGCCATCGGCAACAAAGGAACGCTTTTCGGCTCCGGTGCGGATGTCCCAGATGATGATCTTTTGGCCCGTGGGTGTGGGTCCGTAGGTCACTAGGTAATTCTCGCAGGGCGAAAACTCCACAAATTGGGTACCAGGATGAGGGAACTTCTGGATCTTCTGGAAGCTACTGCCACCCCAGATGGCCACGCCGGGTTTGTGGAAGGTGACAACATAAGTACCCAAGGGTGACCACTTGACGAACGTGTCGGTGAAGCGTTCGCGGGTCTCCAGCTCAAAGGGTTCGGGCAACACGTTCTGCCAGAAGCCCACCTGCACGCAATTGGGCGCGGTTTCCGCAGCCACGCAGTATTGGTCATAAGTGTCCGGGTCGTTGATGAAGTTGTATAGGTCGCTCTGCACCTTAAAGGTTTGTACGGTTGGCGGCTCCCACTTCTCGGGGATGTTTTCGTACCTACGAAGATGGAATTTTACTTCTTGCATTGTTTTGCGAAGCATCAATAAGAACTTACTTCTGGAAATCAGTAAAGAGATTGACGGCAAAGGTGTGGTTCTTGTCTAGGCGATGATTGTTCAGCTTCTTGACGGCCTCCTCCGCCTGGCTGGCCTGCTTGTATTCCATAAAGGCGTAGCCCTTGGTCTTGCCATCCTCGTCGACCGGATAGACCACATTGACGATATCGCCGTAGTTCGAGAACAGCTTGTTGATGACCAACTTCAGCTTATCCAGTCGCTCCGGCTCCACCTTGGGGATGTTGTCCACCACAACCACGCTCTCGACGCCATCAGCCTCCGAGGGGCGCTGTGCCAACATGTCGCCCAGCAGGTCTGAAAGTGCATCACGAATATATTTAATTAGATATGCAAATGCAAACTTTCGCACACCGCACACGGATTGAGGTTAGATCGCCGCGTGTGCTGTGCTGGCAGTCGGGGATTTTCACCTTCATCACTGATGTTGTCCACAAACCCGGGCGGATCTTCAAAGTTTGGCTCCTCTTGGTAATCGCTATCATTCGCATCCGCACCGGAGTGCTCCTCGCTTTTCTTCTTGGCCATATTCAGCGATCTATTTGCAATTTTCCGTCATCAAACACACAAGCACAAAGTGAAAAAGGAAGAGCGAGATGCCGCATTTGACAGTCAGGGCGAAACGCTATTTTGTGTGAATGGTAAGTGTTGCCAACTGGTCAGTGCGTTGACAACGCGGCGGAGGAACTGTTATTAATATTTATATATATATATGTAAATAGATAAATTTATAGTGCAATTTTTACGCCTGACAGCAATGTCAATAATATCTGCTTTTATAAGAATTCTTCAACAACAAAATCTTTGGTGGATGTCAAGTGACCTCAAAAACCCTATTTCTCTTGATAATGTGTTAAAATGTATGTACGTAATCGTATGTACTTATACTTATTATAAGTCAACCTACCAAATGGTTTATTCGTTTTGGGCATATACAATCATTTTTCGATTGCAAGTCTAGAGATGGATGTTTTAAATTATGTTCAACCGATTTTTTAGAAGTCTACAGCAATCGATTTTTTTTCCGATTAACCAAAAACGATAGCATTAAATAATCATCGGCTGGAGTTCCATCTCTCACATGAAAATTTGTAAGATTTTAGAGCAGTTCGGTGTCCGTGATTTCCTCAATTTAAGCCCGATTTGTAGTATTAAAGCTGTAAAAAAATGCAGCGGGGACGAGCGCGAACCGTATGAAATGCATGCGAAAGTCGTCGGTGCGGCAAATCAGTGCGAAAAACATCCCAAATGTGCGTAGGCCCCACACTCACTCTCGCACACACACCCGTGCGCACATACACAGCTTTTTCGGTCACCACTCGTTCCCTGTGGGTGCGAGCAGTACCACACTAACAGTGTAGCGCGGCAGCATTGCCAGCGCAGCGGGAGCGACAGAGAGACAAACAGCGGGCGGCGGACAACAACAGTGCGAGGCGAAGGAAAATGTTTTCATTTACTTAAGTCGGCGGTTCCCCAAAGAAAATCGGAAACTTGCTTGCTTAAAACGGATTGGGAAAACATTAATTATACCATGGATGGGCGGTTGAACACTGCGATGGGTTGAAAAGTGCGTAAATGGCTTGGCCAGACGAGCAAATCGCAACAGCTGATGCAGCAGCATCTTAAGAAAAGCGAACAGGCAACTGTAAAGTGTTCTCTGTTATTGTCACACTGCAGTCCCAACCCCGCCCACCACCCACCGTCGGGCTCCGTGAATGATTCACATTTTCTTTCGGCTACCCGCTTGCCTTTTAAGCTTTTTCCCTGCCCCGCCTCCGAAAAATTCGCTGGCAATGCGTGTGCGCAATTAGTTATTTTTTTCGATTTCCAAGTGGTTTGACAAAGTGCCAATCGTGTTTTTCTATTTTCTTGTGCTTAGGCTCCAAGTGAAAATCACCTAAGCTGAGGAAAACTCCACGCCACACACACACGCACTTGTCCACGCAGAAGAGACAAGTAAAAAGGAAAAGCGGTGTGTTGTGGTCAACTGAAGAGTGCAAAAAGTGCAAAGAGTGCGAAAAGTGCAAAAAGTGCGGAAAGTGAAGTGGCGGGCGTCGGAGAGCCGGAGTCCGTCGCAGGAAAATCCGTCAGCATGGATGTCGAAACACAGGAAATACGACAGGTAAGCGCAGCAAGAAGGCTTCCCGAGTCCAAAAGTAACCCATAAAACAGACTCATACTTGAGTTAAAAACAAAAAGCACTCATTAACATTCCAACGGAGGCGAAGCGGGCCTAAACACCTACTCTCTTGGCCAAAATGGTGCGCTGAGGTAATGCCGCTCGGCAACTTAGCGCTTAGTATGCGACCGACACCTACTTACCAATCGACTGGTTTCGATGGCCAATGCAAACAACTACAACCGGTAGTTGTGTGGGGTGTGCTGATCGGAAAATAATGCCAGCAGCAGCAAGCTTCCATTCATAAAACTGCAGCTGGAAAATCGAAGCCGGAAAATACGCTTTGCTCCTACGATTAGGCATTTGTTATCGTTTTTCTCGCTTTGAGCTGACCGCTGTTGCATGACCTAATCGCTAAATATGAAAAGAAAAAACAAATAAAAAGAAAAAACGGCTTACGCATGCGAATGCCAGGCGCAAAGGGAGAAACGCTAACACTCTGCTCGGCGGTTTGGGGCCTTGCGTGTACACCGACTTTTCCCCTAGACAACTCCCTAGAAAGTCACGCTGGAGTCTTGTTCTTGGCCAGCAAAGGCAAACAGCTACGGAGCACAGCCCGAACCCACTGCTAAACCCATTCAAACATCCAAACATCGAGTCGCTGACTCAAGCGGAGCACTCTCTTCTTGCCCGCTTTCCTTCATCAGCACTCTTTGTTATATTTAGCCGCAGATATCGCTTCCCATTCTCCGGAATGCCAAAAACAAGCGACGTTCGGCTAGATAATGAAACCATAAAGCCGCGCCAATTTGTGACACTTGAAAACCACCAGCAACTGAAACTTTATGACAAACATGTGCTGGGAATGTTTGCGCATAGAGCAAAAACCTCTCTGAACTGAACATCAATAAATCATTTAGCTTTTTTCTTAAATATAATAATTATTTATGTAAACACTAGTTTATCAACAGTAGCTTTTGAATTACTAATCCCTTACCAACATAATTGTCTTTAAATTAGATTATGTTTTTTCGTGTGTATTCGGATGCTTGAATACAAATACATATGCCATCGTTCGTTTATTCATAGTGGGCGTCCGAGGCACTCATTTATTGTTTTTCTTCGAAATGCTTGCATGGTCTTTTGAAATTTGAGTTTTAGACATTTTTCCCCGCGAGTCAATGCAAAGTGCAGCCAGAGTTTTTCCGTCTCGTTGGCCATTCAAATAATGTTGCGGACAGCTTCTTGCTTTTGGTGGAAAGCGCTTCGCTGGGCAAACAGGTTTTCCCTCCACCTGTTGACCAATTCGCATAGCTGGTCGGTCTACGACCTACGCCAATATTGTTTTCCCCGCCAGTGCACTTTTCCTCCTCATCGAGCTTGAATTATTTATGGCATTTTGTTACAAGTATTTAATCCAAAAACCGCCCAAGAGCAAATTCTTTTCGGTATATAAAAGAATCAAACCACTTTGGTCAGATTCTCTGACATAGTTATTGATGACTTCATGCAACGATTTTGTAAGAAACCCGTTTGAAAATTATGGTATGAAAGCCAGCCTAGGAGTCAAAGTATTGCAGTAAATACGAAAGGCATTCCGAAATCAAACAGAGTTAATGGATTGATTAACTTACCTCTCTCAGTTTCACCTTATCTTCTGCTGAAAACTATCTCCAACTGTTGGTTTGTGCCTGCTGTTTTATGTTTACTTTCTTATTTTTTGTAATCCCTCTATCATTAAAAGGTGTTCAAAAAATATAGATAAACACCTACATCTTATCAGGCAAAGGCACATGTTTTAAAAGCTTCGATTCGAGATACTGCTAGTTGGAAAGTATTTTGCAATCGGTTCGACCGATATAGAACCAATTTCCGCATCTGCAACAGCGACAGTTTCCCTCTTGAGAATCTATTTTGATTGCTTTTCCCCAGTTTCAATTAGACCAAGAAGAGGCCATTCGGAATAGAGCAGAATTGTGATTATGAGTGCAACAAGAAATGGGTTGGTTGGCAAAACATGGCAGCACTCGAGATGATTCTAAAAACGGAGCAGCAAAAGAGGCAGGCTGTGCGACTGCCCCGCTTGTGGAGTCTTTCATGCTGAGTGACCATCCGACCAGCAACCCCTTCACTACCCAGCCACTCCCTTCCTGGCCCCAAAATCCGAAAGAGTTTGGTGGGGAGCGAGGGGGAGGGGGGAAACAAAGAAAGGCGGCTGGCGGCGCACGCCAAGCCAAACACGAGCGAGTTTATCGAACTCATATTGAAGATTGTACGCATGGCTTCTTTCGCGCACAAATACAAATGCTGGCAGATGCAGCAACAGGCTTGAATACAGATACAAAAGCACTTCAGAGTGCACTAGTTAATTGCCAAGAAAAGGCCCGTCATTCAATCCGCAGAGGATGCAGTTATAGTGCATTTATTACGCAGGCTTAGCTTGGCCTTGGACGTGGAACGGGAATTGGTTGGGTGCCAACACTTGCTGCACAGAATGTTCTCACATTATCGCAATCTCTACTGATGCACACTCTATTTCCCATCACTACATTGTAGGCTCGTCAACGTGCTTCCGTCAAATGGCTGCTCTCGAAGGCCTTCAACAATCGCGTGCCGGACAACCTGAAGGAGCCCTTCTACCGCGACCATGAGAACCAGGAGCGCCTCAAGCCGCAGATCATTGTGGAGCTGGGCAATGCCACGCTCTACTGCCAGACGCTGGCCAATCTGTACTCAGATCCCAACTACCAAAGCATGAACCACTGGTCAATAATACAGACGCTAGCGCGCAAGGGAGTTCCCGTGGCCGAATCCGCGGACATGCCCATTACCGAAACGGTATTAATTCAAACAAATCCGCTGCGAATTGTGAGTAGATCTAAACTTCAGTCTTTATGGCTTCTCCCTAATTTAATGTTCGGTCTTACCGCTTTCAGAACGCCCACATGTCTGTGATAGAATCGCTGATGGTTTTGTATGCGAAGGAAATATCATCGGGTGACCGCGTCATGGCGGCCATACGAAGGTAGGGTCACTGCTTGTTATTAAAAACTATTCATTTAATATTCCTTTTAATAATGCAGAATATCTGGCAACAACTATCAGGCGCCCACTGGCCAGTCCTACGAGCAAGCTCTGCTGGGCTGGATTTCACATGCTTGCGCCGCTCTAAAAAAGCGCATTATCAAGGAGGTGGACGCAGGACTGCCCGACGACAATGTGAGTTGCCACTTCCCTTACCTTCACCGCATTATTTATCAATTAAAAAACCACAGGGTTCTCGTCTGCAGACCCCGGATATACCACCTGTAAGGGACTTCCAGGATCTGTGCGATGGAATCTGTTTGGCGCTGCTCATCTCGTACTACTGCCCAAAGGTGGTGCCGTGGACGAGTGTGCGAATTAACTATCTGCCCGCCGTCGAGGACTCGATTCACAACATCCTGCTGGTCTGCAATTTCTCGCAGAAGCATCTGCCCTATACCGTGATGCATATGACGCCCGAGGATGTGACCTACATGCGCGGGTAGCTACTAAGTTCCCCTACTTAGGACAAATATTTTAATAATATGATATCGTTTTATTTCAGATCCATGAAACTGAATCTTGTAGTGTTGCTGACGGATTTGTTCAATCTGTTTGAGATACACCCGGCAAAATGTGTTTGCTACCCCGGCATGGATGGTCAGGGTAAGTGGAGAATTTCTTTGTCGAGTATCCATTCCCAAACTCTGCACCGCATCGCATTTATCCGCCAAAACCCTGATCTCACCTCCAAAAGATTGGCCTGCCTGTGTTTGAATATCAGTCCGGGGCATGTATTGTTGTCCAAGTGTATCCGAAGTATTCTTGTTTTGCATTTCGTTTTGTCTTTGTTTTTTCTATAATTTGCGATAAATTTTATTCTTGGTTTTATTACAAAGAATTGGTTAACAACAAGAGAGAAATTATTCATAGTACCAGTATACATATATTATGTATGTATAAATGCCTTTTGCGAATTGCATTAAACTGGATATATGAGTGACTCAAATTATACTAGTCAGCGAAAAGTTAAAGCATCCATCACTTAGTCATAAAGAGCTTTTTAAGTACGTAGGAATTTAGAGCGCTTCACAGCTCACAGATCGCCTTGATTGCGCCGCAAATAAGTCCCCGTTTAAGATAAGCCGCGAAGCACCTTTTAGGAGAAGATTGGTCAGTAAAACCGCAGAAACCTAGGCAAATCTTTTTTTATGTTACTGTATAGTTCCTGCGGTTATTTTCGTTTGTAAATCACCGAGTCCTCCAGGAAATCGACATGAAATCATATGTAATTTTCATCATCTTAGCAATCACCTGATCCCACCAAAAGTAGTGAAATTCTCCACATTTCAAAAACAATCCAAATGAAATAAACCAACTCTGTACTTGAATCTCTTTCTTTGTTTATGTGCAAAACGCTTCCTCTTGCCACTCGTAACCGCAATAAATCCACCAATAATTTGGGTCCTAACCACACACACCAAACACATCTACACACTTACCAAATGAAAAAACACACTCAACGTACAACGTGCCATGCTCTTCTCGATTGATCCGCTCTCCAATCCCGTGTCGACGATATCCAGATGTCATCGCCCGGCGCACTATGGGCGCCAATGAGCACGGGATCTGCCATCGACGGGGCCTTACAGTGCAGCCCGTCACACCCATTCCCGATCTGCGCAGCGATCTCGACCAGCCGCCTGTAGGCTCGCCTCAGAACCGACCACCGTTCCAAGGTTTTACTTCAAATTTTCTATCAGAGCATTTTCTGTGTACCCCAATTTCCCGAATCTCGATTTTCCTCCTTCGTTTGTTCATGAATGTGTTTCCATTTCCATTTGTTTGTTTTCTATTTGCTTGTTCTGCTCACATTCAGTTTGTTTGTTTGATCGTTTGTTTGCCTAATTGATTATTTCCTGGTGCTAAGCCAAGGAAATCAAATCATATCTATATGATCTGCAGATGTTTGATAATAATTACAATTTTAATATAGTCTAAGTACCAAGCCATGTCTCACAGTCGCATAGATGCTTTGCAATGTGTGTTGAGCTCGTAAGTGCACCACCACTCATCAGATCGATCAGTAGAAATGTTTGTACCTAGACTATGCATTCTGTCATCTTAATTCTCCAAGCACCATGACCGAAAATGACTTGACCTATTTGACAGAGAATTTGGGATAAGAAATCACGGGACAATTGGAACATAAAGGCATGTAAATACCGACTGAAGTCATATATGTTTGTGTAAAAATATAATACCAAAATATTTTGGTGGTGTGTCAGAAAGACATCTTTATAAATGTGAAAGTATTAGGCATCAGACCGACTAGACTCCCCTGGGCATAATTGTCCGGTTCATGGGGTACATCTCAGCTTACTTTGCACCCATCCACGTATTGCGATTCACCTTGTTTCTGCTTTCGAATTGTGTGTTTGCTTTTGCCCGCTTCCGATGCAACGAGTCAATGAATAACCAACCGAAATATTCAAGTTCATTTACCTCGCAAGCTGAACAAATTGATTTTATTTATTTACGTTTTCTTTTTTCTGTCTTTTTTCTGTTTTTGTGAATTTTCGTATATTTAGTTCCGCACTCGAATTCATTTGGCGGCGGCTTAAATCGCAGATCAACCCCGCCCAACGAATACCAGACGGTTCAGTCAAGTAATTTTGACGGTAATCATGCCGAAGGTAAATTATTTATTATTGTTACTTAATTATTTCTCTATACCTATTATTTCCATTAATTTGTGTACGTTTATGTTTCTGTTTGCTCTCCATTTGCACACAGACACTGAACTCGATGTTTTATTGGTTTCTGATTGAATTTAAATTTTGTAACTTTTCTTTTCACCACCCACCGACCCACACACGCTTAACCACCAACCACAACGCCATCGCTCCCCGCCAACCTGCAGCCTTCGTGGTGCACAAGTCGCGTGGCATCACCACACTTGCCTCCATGCACTCGCAGCAGCAGCAGCTCCATCAGCAGCAACAGCATCAGCAGCAATACCATCAGCAGCAACTTCAGCAGCACCCGTCCCAGTCGCAGCTCCAAATCCAGCAGCAGGAGCCCTTGGTTCCGGCTCGCTTGCGCCAGGCTAAAGAAAAGACCAATGTTGAGTCGAAGGCGGACGAGAGAGGTTTGCCCAGCTTGCAGTTGATTTCTTATTTTCTTAGACGACTTGTATGTGGCGGCCGAACGTGCTATTAGCGCTGCCATGTGGGAACTGGTTAATTACTTGAACCGAACTGCAGTTAAAGTGCAATTCAAAATGATTTTCGTTTCTGCTGCATACAAGTCACCAATTTGATTTAATTTATTATTATTTATTTGTTTTGTCTTCTTTTCATTTACTTCTGATTTGTTTGCTCTCGAACCAAATCGTATAGGCGATTTTGTCGCTGCGGGTCGACCAAGTAACTGGGAACAGAGCCGCCGGCCAAGCTTTGCAGGTATGAGCCAACTCTGTCACTGCCGACCCAGAATTGTTCTATCAAACGTAGCTATCCATTTGTGCGTTAAGTTGAATGCAATTTAGTTCGTGTTATGGTTAATTTTAGCTCTATTACATGTCCTTCAAGCTCTCCCGATCCAATTGTTGTTGCGTCTATCTTTCAGTGGCAACTGATTAACGCTCTTGTGCACTTTCAGGTCGTCGCTCGCGGAGAAACTCTTCCAGCGAGGACTCCCAGCTGACCATCGAGAACTTTGGTGGCTCCCAGGATCAGCTGAATACGCTTGGACGATACGAACGCGACAGGGAACGCAAGTTGTCCAACACTAGTGTGGGTAGTTATCCAGTTGAACCCGCTGTGGCCGTTCGCTCTTCAATTGCCGATGCCAGGGGTACGTTGCAGTTGGGCTACGATACGGACTCCGGTTCTGAGAAGCAGGATCGCGAAACGGAAAAGTATTCGATGCGCCGGCAAGTCAGGTGAGTCATTGAGCCGATAAGTTGCGTATAAAAGAGTTTGCTTGTAAGTATAAGCCGTCGTTGATTACATTTTTGCATTTAACCTTATCGACAGTGTCGATAATGTGCCCACGGTGTCGTCGCACAATCTTTCAAATGCGGGCAGCCCGTTGCCGGTGGCTAGGCACAAGCAACATTCCAGCGACAAAGACTACAGCAGCAACAGCGGCATGACACCAGATGCATACAACGATTCCCGCTCCACCAGCGCTTACGATCCGGAGAGCACGCCCGTTCGCAAATCCTCGACAAGCAGCATGCCAGCAAGTCCCGCTGCTTGGCAGTTGGATGTGGGAGACGACGATATGCGCTCGCTGGAAAACGCCAGCAAGTTGTCCACCATACGAATGAAACTGGAGGAGAAGCGGCGGCGCATTGAGCAAGACAAGCGCAAGATCGAAATGGCTTTGTTGCGGCACCAGGAGAAGGTAGGCGTTGAGTCAATAGTCTAGAGCTCGATAGGTGATCTGAAAGCTTATTTTGATGAATTCGCAGGAGGATTTGGAGTCGTGTCCGGACGTAATGAAGTGGGAGACAATGAGCAACGAATCAAAGCGTACGCCTGATATGGATCCCGTGGACTTGGACAAGTACCAGGTGGGTGTGGCAAGACTTCTACCAATTTCCCTCACCGTTTAACCAATACAATCCGAGCGCCAGAGAATTTATGTCTAACGCCTGTGTCTCTCTTTTACCCCCATTTTGTGTCTGTGCCTGCTTCTACATCCACACATACTTACACGCAACAATTACACAACACAAAACACGCCCATTAACAAATCAAACCACATTAACTTACCTCTTAATCGCCGGGATGTGGAACAAGCAGCAAAGTATCGCCATTATGAACATGAACCTGCAGGATATCCAGCAGGATATCCACCGCCTGGCCACCCAACAAAGCCAAATGCAGGCGCAGCACCTCCAAGCCCAACAGCTCATGCAGGCTCAGCAGATAGCCAACATGCTGAACCAGGTAATCCATCCGCTCATAACACCGTCCGACCTCAAGCGCATTGCAGCAGCCGCCCAAATTAACGAAGGATGTGGAATGCTTACTGTTTTACTTTGTTTATTGGCTGGGAATGTGAGATCTGATTAGTGATTACTGTTTAAATTTACTTGAAATTTTGATAAGCGAATATATTGATATTTGTTTAATGGTCACTAAACATTGTATGATAGTTACTTTATGAGAGTAGGAATTGAGATAATTTTTAAAAAAGTAATTGGTATTTTATTTTAGTACGTGTATATAAGTACATAGTTGAAATGCGGTAATCACTAGTTCGATGCTTCAGTTCCCAAAATTGAAAAAGTGTTATTTGTAACTGGTGCCAAATGAATCCCAATAATGCACGTTTGTCAACTAACAAATTGTTCTTTGATCTCGTTCCAATACATTTTGTTTCTCTGCAACATGCAACACGCAACACGCAACTCTTGAAATCTGCAACTCGCCACCTGCCCACACGTTATGCTCACTAACCGCGCATCCACAGCAGCAGACCTATGGGTCGCAGCAGCACCTAGCTGATCATCATTACCAGCAGCAGAGACCCATGCAGCAAAGCTTTGGTTCATCGCCCCATATTCCGCAGGCCTACAACGCCCCAGTCAGCGCATACAGCTCCCGTCCGCCTAGTCGCGATCCCTACCAGCAGCAGCTCCACCATCAGCAGCAGCAGCCCATGCCCATGCCCCAACCTATGCAGTACGTCAACGAGCACGGGCAGTATATGTCGCCGCCGCAGCCCGCACACTACATGCCGCAGCAGACACAACAGCCGCAGAGCATCTACAGCGACAACGGGGCGGCGTACAACCACAGTAACCACTCGCCATACGGCGGAGCTCCACAGTATCGGAGCAGCGTGGTGTACGACGATTACGGGCAGCCCACCAACCACTTCTACCTGCATGAGTCATCGCCGCAGCCACAAGCTCATCCACATCCGCAGCGTAGGACTTGGGCTCACTCCGCAGCAGCTGCCGCTTATGAGCAACAGCAACAGATCCAGCCTTCCCTGGTGGATGTGAATGCCTGGCAGACGCAGCAGCACCAAAAGCAGAAACAGACCTGGATGAACAGGCCGCCCTCAAGTGCGGGAGCTCCGAGTCCTGGCAGCTTTGTGCTGCACCAGAACGGTGGAGGTGGTGGCGGTGGTGGGGGCGAGCTACAGCACCTGTTTCAGGTACAGGCCTCGCCACAGCATGGCCAACGTCAGGTTAGTGGATCCAATGGCGTGCAGCGCCAGCAGTCGCTGACCAATTTGCGAGACAATCGCTCGCCCAAGGCACCACCAAACATGGGAATGCCCATGGGTATGCCGATGCAGCAAGAGGACATGATGGCACCACAGAGTATTTGCTTCATCGGTGACGAGGAGGATGTTGATGAGCTGGAGCGGAACATCATCGAATCAATGCAGTCGACGCACATCTCCGACTTTGTGCACCAACAGCAGCAGCAACACCAACAGCAACTTCAGCAACAACAACGATTGCAGGGGCACAGCGGTCGAGGCAGCAGCTCGGAGGATTATGACAGCGGGGAGATGATCTCCAACAAGCTGAACATCACCAGCGGCAATCTCACCTATCGCATACCCTCGCCATCCCGTCCCTCCATCCAAGCCAACAGCTTCCAGGATCCCCGAGCCATGGCAGCGGCTCCCGGTGGAGAGGACCAGCCGCCTGAGAAGGGTTTCTACATCTCCTTCGACGATGAGCAGCCCAAACGACCCAAGCCACCTCTGCGCGCCAAGCGATCGCCCAAAAAGGAGTCTCCACCGGGTAGTAGGGACAGCGTCGATAACCAGGCGACCCTGAAACGTGAATCGCTTAGTCATCTGCACAACAACAATAATATCGGATTTGGAAATGATGATGTCAACAGCAAACCGGTGACCAGGCACAGCATCCATGGCCTAAACAACTCCAACAATGTCAAATCTCCCGGAAATGCCACGTACAACAAGTACACGGATGAGCCGCCCATCCAACTTCGTCAGCTGGCCGTTTCGGGAGCAATGTCACCAACTAGTAACGAACGTCGCCACTTGGAGGATGTCAGCAATCAGTCACCGCAGCAGACGCAACAACCAATGTCGCCCACGCGACTTCAACAGAACAGCAACAATGCAGAGGCGGCCAAGAACAAGGCGCTGGTCATCGGAGCAGATTCCACCAATTTGGATCCGGTAAGAGCGTTAAATGGGTCATGTGGGTTAAGAGTCTTGTCATCAAATCAAATAGACAAGATTATCTGAAAGCGCAATAAGATCTTCCCATATTAAGCTTATCCGTTTATATGCCCCCAGGAATCTGTAGATGAGATGGAGCGGCGCAAGGAGAAAATCATGCTGCTGTCTTTGCAACGCCGCCAGCAACAGGAGGAGGCCAAGGCGCGCAAAGAGATTGAGGCTTCTCAGAAGCGAGAAAAGGAGCGCGAGAAGGAAGAGGAACGATCGCGCAAAAAGGAGGAGCAAATGGCACGGCGAGCGGCCATTTTGGAGCAGCACAGACTCAAGAAAGCCATTGAAGAGGCCGAGCGAGAGGTACAAGAGAGCTCTACTTAACAATACAAAGCCTAAACTTAAACTTTGATTCTTCTATAGGGTAAAACCCTGGATCGGCCCGATCTGCACGTGAAGCTGCAATCCCATTCATCCACCTCAACGACCCCGCGGCTGAGGCAGCAGCGCACCACGCGTCCCAGGCCTAAGACAATTCACGTGGACGATGCCAGCGTGGACATCAGCGAGGCTTCAAGCATCTCTAGTCGGGGCAAAAAAGGCTCAAGCTCGAATCTAACCGGTGAGCAATTTATCGGGGCAAATAAGGCAAACGAGCACGTCGCCATAATCGATTCCAGATACTTATGAATTTCGGCGCGCCGAAACTGCAATATCTTTGTTTTTTATATTGTGTTGTTCAGCTATACCTATATAATTTGTTAACTTTTTGTTTCGTTTTGAATTTGAACTTAACAGGCTACGGTCAACTAAGCTCAAATTCAATGAAAAGAGATTACTACAGGGGCTCGCAAGACTCCCTCACTGTAAAAGGTAATTTATGTTTTTGTTATTTTACCGTCATTGCATTGTTTTTATTTCATCTGTTGTAGTTTGATCTAAGTTATGCATGTTTAGTTAAACCTAACGTTGATTTGGTATCTGGTCACTTTCCGATAAATGGGACTTCAAATCTAACTATGTATTTGAATTGCACCTCTACGTAAACGTAGCTCTAAGTTTTCTTAATAACTATGGAAGTTGGACAACCTATTTGATAAGCCATAACAACTAATCTCGTTTAAACAGAGTCGCCCGATGATTATCCCAGTACAAGTTCAACTCCGATTGGACGACGGGGATCGTACAAAACTTCCAGAGGTTGGTGATGGATAACACGCCCACTTAGTTTTCTTTTTGTTTCCCTCTGTTTAATTTCACAAATTCGCATTCGAACACGCTAAGAAATGAAACGAACGTTGAAACGCTCCAGCGCTTACAGTTTTTTATGGTTTGTCTTTAACTAACAAGTTTTGATTTTGGTTCAAGTACTGAATTATGGCTAACAGCAAACTGCAAAAAACCTCAACTAATCCAATGCACTGCCAGAAAGATTGCACCTGAACTGAAAAGTGGACCTGAGGCGCGGTTGAGGATAGACACATATCAGATATTTTTATTACTTTTATTTATCTGGTTTTTGGGACTACTATTTTGAAGCTGAATTTTGGTTTTGGGGGTTCCGGGCGATAAGTTTGATTTACGATATTTGTACCTCATTTGTGCCACCCATTCATTTGTGTTAACGAATTGCGAATGAATAAGAATCATGTGTTCCACCTGTATACTGATGCACTCGGCTCGCGTCTTTCGTGACCTGACTCCACCTGATTTCAGAGCCAGCCGGCGTAGAAAGGGGCCGCACTCTGTCGCGTATCTCCGTCGCTAAGGGCAGCACGCTTAATTTCCGGGGCCGAAAGTCCAATTCGCTAATGAATCTGTGCGGTAAGAAGCGTTCCACGGCAGCAACAACCAAGCTGCCTGCCTGTTACCTTTCTCTGTAACCCCTTACTCTACTCTCTATTCTATTAAGTATTTACCTGTCTGCTACTTTCTTTTGGTTAAAGTTGCTTTGGGTATTTCTAGTGGTATCTTTTGGTTAAACCTGTGATTGTGCTTTGGTTCTGGTATCTTTGGTGGTGATAAGTAATTTACTTTCTCCTTTTGAATTCTGTTATTAATTCCTGTGTACATATTTGAATATACTATTCTTTGCTGTTTTGCGATTTTAGTTTGTAACCTTTCACTCGAATGATTCGGTTTTCCACGTACCTTACGATGATGCAGTGGTGGTGGTGGTGGTCTGGTCCCCTCTCAAGCTTTCTTGTGTTCGTCAGATGATTTGCGGGGCCTGGGGTTGGTTTCTACAGCTTAATATGCGCAACTGGTTCCGGCATACTGTCAACCGATTGAATTTGCTTACTCCACTTGTGAGATATGTGATACACTAGCACAAAAATACACTCATACAAACATTTGCACCGCCAACACTAATCAGTACATTTTTCGATTTTAATCCAGATCATGATCAAATAGCTATTAAGAGATCTACGAAATTGCTTAACTAAATTTTGTGCACACATTCTCTTCTTTTATTCCTCTTTCTTTCAACTCAATCTTGTCTAAAAACGAATCTTGAAATTAACCAACAAAAATACAATCAAATATTAACCGAATTAAACGAACTCATCGAACTCGCCATCCATCCTCGTGACTGGTGACTAACAATACCGCATCCATCGACTGGTTTCACCTGCATGGACCTGGGTGATCCCGTTCTGATCCAATCTGTTTTGTGCATGTGACCGCCCGCTGAATGCCTCGACTGACACGGATTCCACCCTGCTCTCTTGCTTGCCGGTTAGACACAGATTCGGGACTGGGACGCGCCACTCCGCCGAGGCGTGCTCCGTCGCCTGGAATGGGAATGGGCGCTTCAGGTAGGCATATGCCATCTCCCTCCGGACCGGGCTCATTGCCGCCAGGTTTGATATCGAAACGTCGCGGATTTGATGATGGATCCAGCGATTTCTCTTTAACTCCGAATTTGAACATGGAATATTCGGGTTTGTATCTCTCTCGTCTTCAAAACAATCAGAAAACAAATCATACAAGCCATACCAATACTTCAAATCAAATCAACCCTCAGTTATCTAATCACCTTTCACCAATCCATACACCATTGGTCATCTGCCTCACCTGCATCAGTACTACCTAAGTTGGAACGCCTCATTATGATTTCAGAATTTTGTAATTTTATTGGTTTGTCCATCATTACGAATTGGCATACTTTGTGCAGAATGCACTTTATTTATTCGACATACATATGAGTTCTACATAGATATACAAGTTCTAGAGGGCTGCGACAGTCTGTAGAATCCGATTCTTCGTCCACCTGTTACCTTCCCTAGCGACGTCAAATCCACGACTTTCGATGTTCAAATGAAATCCAAAAATGTGTTCTTAGTGATATAAAAACACCGCAAGAGTTACAAGATTAACCGCTTCACTTTGAAATACTAAAAACAAAATTGCAAGCACTGTTAATTGTTCAATTTTATTTGCTTATAAGTTATGCAATTTAAGCCAGGCTGTATATTTCTGTTATTTTTGTCAGAAAGTTTTTATTTAAGAATTGTCTTTATGATTTTGATTACTACTCCCTAATATCTAAAAATTGGATCCCGTAGCTTCACAAGCGTTTTGCATTAAATCTTGCACGTACCCTGCATTTTGATAATATGAATAGAAGATTTTGCGATCTAGAATATAGAAGCTTGACATTACCACCAAAATGTGGGAGATATCCGAAAATATGCGAATGTGCCATCCACTTTTCTAACTTTGACTGAACGGCATCCACAGGTCCTAAACTCTATAAGCAACCAGCGGCCAAATCGAATCGTGGAATCATCCTGAATGCCGTTGAATACTGTGTTTTTCCCGGCGTTGTCAACCGCGAGGCCAAACAGAAAGTGCTGGAGAAGATAGCGCGCTCGGAGGCGAAGCACTTCCTGGTACTCTTCCGCGATGCTGGCTGCCAGTTCCGCGCCCTCTATAGCTACCAGCCGGAAACGGACCAGGTGACCAAGCTGTATGGCACTGGGCCTAGTCAAGTCGAAGAAGTCATGTTCGACAAGTTCTTCAAGTGAGTGAATAGGATATCCTCTATACTCTGCGATTTTTCAATAATGTTGTATCCCCATCCCTGCAGATATAACTCAGGAGGCAAGTGCTTCTCGCAAGTACATACCAAGCATCTGACAGTGACCATCGACGCCTTTACAATACACAACTCTCTGTGGCAAGGCAAGCGGGTGCAGTTGCCCAGCAAAAAAGACATGGCGCTTGTAATCTAAGCGGTGGTCAGAGTATTTTGAATGGCATCGATTCGGATGCAATAAGGAGGCGGCGGTGGAGCGGTTGGGCCAACGGGCGCTTGGCGCGGTTTTGGCGAAACAACACTATTCTACAAGATTGCGCATTAAGACATCTATGGAAACATAACAAAACATACCCAATGTTTTTCTATAGGTCGCGGGGTTTTGGTGTTCATCGGGGCATATACGGCTAAATACTATTTGCACATGTTTCAAGAACAAATCGGAATTTACGAAAAATATTGTAGTGATTAATACAATGCGATTGAATATTTATTTTGAATATAAATGCATATATCCAGCCTAAGAATTTATTGTCCACGCAAGCCTGAAACAGTAGGAGAAGCATTCAAATGTAAACGAGGAACAGATAGCAGGTAAAAGAGAACACAGAGCAGAGCACACTCGAAAGCCAAAAGAATGTAATGGAATATTGAATGAATGTATTTTTTGTTTGCAAACAGTAAGCTCCGCTGTACGATGATGAGGAACAAATGTAGAAAATCCTTTTTATTAATTTGTTTTATATTGTTATGAAGTTATTCATGTAAAACTTTTTCTTGGCCTTGGGCAGGCAGGCGGAAATGAAATCGTGTATGGGCCGCAGCCAAAGTCGAAACTAATTTTAATGCCACTAGCTATTTATTTTAACACTAATTAATATTTACTTTTTATGCGTATTTAAAAAGGAATAATAATACAACTAATACTTAAAATTATGTATATCTATACAAACAGAAAAAGACTTTTGACTGCTGAAACGAAACACAGAAATCCATTGTTCTTTTAGATTTCTTTTTGCAAAGTCAATTGCACGACGAGCAGTCAGACTCCAAAATCTCCACATATTGTATTGCACTTCTAACCACCAGAACCATTTCGAATGCATTTGCTTCTTATGCTGATACTGGCTTGAATTGACTCGTGTAACTGCCATCGATCTTACTTTTAACTTTGTTCAGTAGTCACTTTTTAGACCGCTCAACTGTTCGATGCACCTGCCTGCACCTTAGTCCCTAACCACACTCAACCCGTTTTATAAATAAAGCGACCGATCAATCCACGCTGGTATCTTATAATTTATTGTGTAAATCCGCTGGCTCTCACTTGTTTCCAAAACTGATATTACTTTAACATCCGCAAGGTATTTCAACACGATTGACTTTAGATAGCGAAGTGAGGGTAAAAACTAATAGAGCATAATCCAACTGTGAACCGCCATTATAAAATGATTCCGAGGAGATCGGAATTTCTGGGGATCAGGTTAAAATAAATATGTATATGTATGTGCGCGTCGGCGCAGTTGTGCCCTTGGCGCGATTCGCTCCTTAATAATGAATATTAATGAGATCTAAACATTATTATATAAAATGTAATAAAGTTATTGAACATGATTATTTAACAAAGTCTTAGTTGGTTTTATTGAAAGTTACGTTTTAATTACTCTACTTAATGGAAGTCCTCTACATTTGGAAGTCGTCCCGCATGTCATTGTAGCGGAGTACATGCTCCTTGATCTTGGAGCCATCCACCCAGGTGACAAAGTCCTCGAGGTTTCTGGAGACCAGAAAAGCGGGATCCTTAACCATTTCCGGACCCACTCTCACATGACCGTGCTCTATGAGGTCTGTGGCGGCTTTCAGGTGCTCCGACATTCGCACTGCCAGTGGAATGGTTTTATTACATGAAATTCAAGTGATAAAAAGGGATGGCACTCACGTTTCACCATGATCACGGGTAAACGCCTTCTGCAAAAATGACTGGCGGATATTTTGGCAGCCGTTTCCAAAGTTAGCTGATCGTTGGAAACTCCCATGGCATGCAGCTTGTTTAGGAGCATGGTAGTGGCCTCCGCCTTGAAAGGTTCTGAAGCATCCAGCTTGGCTATCCTCTCTGCCAGTTCCCGTATCTCCCTGGACAACTTGTTGTATCTAAATAAATACATTTAAGGAGGTTTTGAATATGTGAGCATTTAATGACTCGGAAGTTTCTTACTTGGTGTAGTCCTCCCTTTTCTGAATGTGAAAGCGCCTTAGAACTTTGTTTTCCTTGCCGCTGTTGTCCACCTTCCAAGTGATGAAGTCCACCTTCTTGAGCAGCTTCTGCTCATGAAATTTGAGTTTACGAACCATTTTTATTTATGTTCTTTTGCAAATCAATTTTTGTTTACGAACTAATTGCACATGGGCAGCGAAGTGTGACCAGAGCACCACATAAACCAACAGCTGATTGGTGCGTCTTCGAGCGGCTTTTGTTTAATAAAATTTAAGGACAGTTTATTAAAATCTTATCTGCTGCAATGGCAGCCTCAATGGATGAGGATATAACTGCAAACCCCCTCCCAAGCAGCGAAGAGGATCCCCTGGCCGAGGAGCGCCTGGGTTTTGTGCGGGAAGTGGGTGCGCAAGCTGTTTGGAGCCTCTCCTCTTGCAAGCCGGGTAATTCTTGGCGTAACAACGTAATCCTTACAAATTTTACAATTTTCTTTGGCTTTCAGGATTTGGAGTAGAGCGTCTGCGAGATAACATCATGGATACTTATTGGCAGTCGGACGGACAACTTCCCCACCTGGTCAACATACAATTCCACAAGCGCACCAACATCAGCCAAATTTACATATACACGGATTACAAGCTGGATGAGAGTTACACGCCATCAAGGATCTCTATACGATCTGGAACGAACTTCAACGATTTGCAGGAGTTGCAGGTGATGGACCTCACCGAGCCCACCGGCTGGGTACAGATACCCATAAAGGATGGGAACGTCAAGTCCATCCGCACCTTCATGCTTCAGATTGCAGTGATCTCGAACCACCAGAATGGCAGGGACACCCACATGCGCCAGATCCGCATCCATGCGCCTGTCGAGGGAAAACATTATCCCCTGGAGCTGTTTGGCAAGTTTGGAACGGTCGACTTTCAGAAGTTCGCAACCATTCGTTAGGGAATATTGGTAATACTTTTGATTTATCAAATTCTTTTATTTTTATGTATTATTCGGGGTATATAACTGCTAAAATACAACATTTAAAACATTACTTTAGTAATTGTATGCATATTTTTGGTGTTTCTAATTAAATGCCCGTCACTTGTATATATAAATTGATTGCAAATAAATATATACCGTCGTCTAAGCTTAAGTACAAATTAACAAACACAATGGAAGTGTAAAAGTTATTATTGTTACTGTTTTCTAGCGATACAAATGCAAAGAGTGAAAATGGAACGCCAACGAAAGTGTGCGAGAATTATTGCATCGTTTTTTTATATTTGTATATTAGGTTGCACTATCCCGAGGTTTGTCGTTAATGATTGGTGATTATGTGTTCGATTTCTTCGCGGCCTTCAGCGTCTTGTAGTGATCCTTCTCCTCGCAGTTTTCGGGTGGCTCGCACTCGTAGGAGGCCTTCATTAAAAGATCCTCGCTCAATACCTCCGCTTTCAACAGGTAGAACACCACACTGGCCAACTGCTCGTACGGACAGTCCAGTCGCTGCCATTTGGCGAAGTTCCGCAGCTGGGTGCCCAAATAAAGGCACTTCTCAAAGTTTATGTTTCCGTTGTCCAACCTGCAAACGGATTTGGATTTGTTTAATCTGTAACATGGATCATTTATGTAACCGTAAACTCACTTCGTTTCATGGCTCTCGTTAATGGCATGCAAATCTTTGAGGAACAGCGAGAAGAATGGGATAATGGCACGTTCAATTTCGTTGGCCATTTCTCTTTCCGAACGCCAAACAGCTGCCTTCATGGTGGATCGGTAGTTTAGAAAGTTCGAACTTGGATTCATTTGATGCTCCAAACCCTCGAACTTCGTCGTCTGCACTCTGGCCCACTACAAACAATGATAATAATAGTGAAATCAAACTGCGCGTGTTTTACTTATGAGAACTTACCGTTTTCTTCAGGCGAGCTACGGCATTAAGGTTTAATGCTGTTAGAATCGCCATCAAGCTGTTGAAGTTGCCCGTGTTAAAGCATTCCAGAGCCGTTTCCACCCAAAAGTCAATCATTTGTGCTCTCTGGGACTTTTTGCCCAACTGAGGATGACAAAATATATGTTTCTTATTTGATTAATATGTAATTTTTTCAGTCCTGACCTTTAATATTTCCGTTGCAGTCAAGTAGCTCAGTTGGTTGAACCACTGCACATAGCTGTCGATTGTCACCTGGCTGATGTAATTCGAACCCAAGGTGCCTGCCTTGGTTTGGCTTATGCAGGACTTCAGCCCATCCTTTTCTAGTACTTCCACAAATTCCTCCAGGCGTATTTGTGACAGATAGGCGTACTCAATGGCATACAGTTGGTGAGCCAACTCGAAGGCACTGCTGCAGTTGTTGAGCACGTTATCTGTTTTGTAGACATTGGCGGCAAAGCGTTTCAGCGACTTAATACTGCTCTGACGTCCTAACGAGCTGGCCGACGATTGCTTGGTAAGCAGGTTATTTAATTGACTTTGTTTATTTTCGGCCTTTTGCGCCAATATTTTGGGAATGTCATCCAAAAAAGCTGCCAATCCTTTTATATTACGCTTTTTCTCCAGCTCCTGTATCATCAGTTCATGGCTAAAGTCACCGGGACAGGTGTCTAGCCACTCGTTCAAAAGTCGTAGCACGTTTTCCTCCTCTCCATGAGTCTTGGCAATGATCTTGGAAAGCAGCTGATGTGGTGGTGAAAACAAACGGGAAGACGCCAGAAGGGCAAACCGCACATCCTTATCGTTGTTATTGATAAGCAGGCAAACTACCGAATCTAGGTTGCCCTTCTTCGGTATATCTTTGGCGTAATCTGGCGCTGTTTGGCAATCGAATGGCTCTTTGATCTTCAAGTTGGTGTTCTAATGTAGGCAAATTATTAGTTAATTAGAGACTTTCAAATCCTATTAAACTTACTAGGATAGAAATCGCGTCCGACTCATCTGCCGAGCTGGGAATGTCGCAGTACAAGGAGTCGGTTATGGTGTCACGTGCATGTGACCAGGGCGCACTCATCGACACGCTGTGGAAGAGGCCGTCGTGCCCGGAGTCGCAGCTGCTGATATTCGAGCTCTTGTCCCCAATGGTAGTGGATGATACGGATCCGATGACCTGATCGGATCCAGTAATAGCCGAGCTGCTGGACATAAGGGAAGCATTCGAGAAGGTTTGGTTCAGCTGCCGGCCCAAAGGGTCAGCTGGACGCTCGTCCGAGTCAGTGGCCTGCGAAGCGAACGTGGAATTCGAAGTGGTTCGGTATTTGAGTGCATTCTCGGGAGTGGCACGAGCCAAGGCCGACTGCTGCTTGACAGGATGCCAGATCTCTTTCTGATGCGACTGGTGGTTAAAGTTCTCCTTGGTCTCCACGGTGCGCTCGTCTAAGATCTGTCCGTTACGCGAAACTAACACCTCCTCCGTGGTGGTCAGAGAGGACTTGACGGTCAGCGAGGTCTCTACCTCGATGGGCTGTTGGGCCAATCCGGCGCGGAAGAGCAGTTGATTCAGGTGCTCAACCGAGGGCATCTGTCCTTCCAGCAAAGCTGCCTTAATGGCACTGGCATCATCCGCCGGCAGGCCATCGAGCTTCACCGGTACTCCGTTGACCAGCAGCACCTCCTCCTGCTGCAGCGAGGAAGAGGTCTCACAGTCCACGATCTTGACATCCTTGCCGAACAGGGACTCCACAGCGTTCAGGATATCTTCGTCCATGCTTGTGGCGGGGTTATCTGGGATGGGTAAGGTGCAGAAACACGAGGAACTCTGGGGAATCGTGTCTTTTTGGCTGCGTTTGTTGTTAAATGCGTTATGACCACAGGGGGACTCTTTGGATTAGTCGCAATGCACATGCACCATTATCGCGTACATTTCTGGAAAGGAAGGGGCAAGGGGAAACCTCGATTAGCACACACACATTGGGAGAAAGACATGTGGCTGGGGCTTTAGGTTTGTGCGCTCTGGTGACAACGCCCACTTTCCCAAAAGTGGGCTGGTCTCTTCTGATCAGAACATCGCTTTCGGAGCAGACACACCTGCAGGAACACTGTTGCTCGGTGGCCTTCCATCGGACGCACTGCCGCCTTTCGTCACGGCATTTCCCGACTCTTGCACATCAAATTTCCGCCCCTGTGCCGCGCCTAATATAGTTTAATTCGCCAATTGACTTAATTTATTTCTATTATTGTTGTCTCGGTACAGCGATCAATCGATGTTTACACAAATTTGGCAATAATCGATACCCCCATGGGGAAATGCAGACAAATATCGATTACTCATACTTGGTCTAAATATCGGCATCTGGCAACACTCTAATCTGGTTTTTAAAGTCAAGCGATTTTTCCGTTACTATCCGACCTTCTTGTTTGGACATAAGGGTTGTGTTATATATTCAGATTAAATAGCTAAGCACCTCAAATCAGTTTTCTACCTATCTAACCTGAAAATATTTTTAAATTTGGAAAAGATTTTATTTTATTATTTTTTGATTTGTTCTTTTTTAATATTTAAACAAAGGCCGAAGTCCTGCACTGGGCCGCAGTCGACCATATTCTGCTCAGAAAGATTGGGCAGGCTGCCCAATCGGAAGGTGTGTCCCCAATGGTTCCAGGAACGCAGCGAGGTTCAGATCGGCGTATGCGTTGACTATGGTACATATGTAAAGTACATATTACCTATTTAACAACTGATAATGAAAAAAATGCAAGTGAAACTGGAATCTAATGATGTTAAATGAATATATATTTAGGATGTATTTTGTGATTGGTTGAATAATAACGTTTGAACAAAACTTAACTTCCTTGAAGGCGAGTTATTGCGCGGAGTTAAAGGCTCGATTACATTTCCAGAGAAGGGCAAACTTTTTGACTCGGTTAAACGGTCTTAAAGTGGAAAGTTTGATATGCACATGAGCCGGCGAACTCCTTCACTGCCCATCAACTTTTCCCCAAAGGAACGCCAGCAGCTGGAGCAGATGTGCCCGACTGAAGGTCGGTAATGGAATACCCTAGCGCCTAATGCAATTAACCAAGTTTCCCGGTTATGGGGACAGCCCTTGCGTTAGTTTTTGTGTTAGTTTGTGTTAATGCCATATATTTTATGCCAATAAGAGCATTTTGGCCAAAATTACTTTTGGCCAGGCAGCTATTCAGTCCGAACCCAATTGCGGGTGGGTAAGTTCTTACATGCTAGCAGTACATTGTACGTATTCCGGCAGTAAAACAAGAATAGCTGCGACCCACCCCACTGGGCCTTCCATCCACCTCCTCTAGAGCACTTGAAGATGGCACATTTCTGCGTCGTCTTGCACTTCTGGCGGAAATTCCTTTGCCCGGTACATCGTGCTCCGGTTTCTGAGCGTTAATTGCTGACCTCAACCTGCACATAAAGCGACTAATTTTCGCACGGCCCCAGTACTGCATAACTCGTCCTGCATAACAGTATGAATTCTGCGGCACAGTTTCTCCTGCAGCATCCTTTGCCATCCGTCATGGCCTTCCATCTGGGTGGGATTTCTTAAACAGCCGTAGGAGGAGGCCGAGTGGGAGTGGGTAGTATGTTGCCTAAGCAGCAGTGGCGGCAGCAGCAGAAATGGAATGAAATGCATTCGCACAGTTGAAGACAATTTGCGAAATTGCATCGCTCTTGATGTTTTCACGTGCATTCCATCTGGTGTTTTTACGGCAAGTCAACAATGTTCTGCTGGTCGGCCAACAGTGCGCGCCATGGCCATAAGTCGTTCGATTCCAGGGATATCTAACTGAAGAATCTAATAGAATCCCCTAGTCGTCCTTTTCAGTTGTCAAATAAAGCTGTTTGTCCTCAGAACTGCTGTTTATCTACGTCGGATTATGAGATTACCTTTTGCCAACATTTATTTGCGTACAAATGTCCGGCAATTTCGGCATGCACTGTAGCTTGCGGCGGACGTGGGTTTTGGCATCTAAGACCGAGTACAAAAAGCTTTGCGCTCGACCATCTTTCAGGCGATAAGACAACTGGTGCAAATGATTACGACATGCTCCCGGGCGCACTGTATATCTATTTAGACTCGGGGTGGCTGCAAATAGGGAGTCCTCCTTTTGCGAGATGTAACTCTAGACAAGACCGAGCAGGAGCTTCGTAAATGTCAAGTGCAGAACTGGATTCAATTCTTTATGGCCGTGTTAACGAGCCAATTCTCCCGTGGATGCTGGCAAACTTTGGCACTGAATGAAAAATTATGCCATTAACACGCTGAATCTAAGCCACAAATAATCCTTAAAGCCCGGCGCTGGTTAGTTTTTGGTGCAAAAGTTTTTGGAGAAGACGCACCCTGCGCACACGAGTAATTAACAGCGAATTTTGTGCCAAAGTTATCAAGTTGACAATAAAGTTTTACCACTAACTCCATCTCGCCTCGAGGCGCAGCCACCTGATTAAGGTATAAATATTTGATTCTAGTGTGGGCAGATGGGCTGATGGGCTGATGGGCTGTCGCCTTGTTTGGATGAAGGTCTCCGGCAAGTGCGACAGCTCCCAACTATTGTCAACTTTAGGGCTTCCGCTTCCTGGCCGCTTCCTGCCGCACGGCACGGCTCAGTTATGCATGAAGTGGATTCATCAAAACGAAGTCTTGAAATCGTCTGCGTAAATGCTGCACGTGCACCAAGATGCCGGGTGGCAGATGGAAGGTATACGAGTATATCGGTGCGGTATATGGCAATAAATAAAGCTGCAAGGCTGCAGCAAGCGGGCGCAACAATCCGATCGAATGTCGAGGAAGCTCTGCAAAATTACACACACACCCCAGAGAGAAGTGGTAGTTGCATGCGGAAAAGCAATTAAAAGTTCTTGTCAGTGTCTCGGAAGTGTTTGTTCATATTTTATGATGTTTTCGTGTAGAAAGCTGGATTATGAATGTGTCACCAAGAAGTGTTGTCGCTGCTGATTCCTTCCCCTCCGCCTGCCCATCCGCATCAACATCCGTTCGCTGTATGCAACAAGCCGTCACTGAGGTTGAAAGAGTAATGTATAAAATATCACACATCCGCCCCATTGGACGGGCAGACGACTGAAGGCCAAAGCGAAGAACTTCGTAGGAAAACGGAAATCGTAAACAAAACTTTAAACTTTCGAGCTGACCTTTATATTCGGCAGCATTTGATTGCATAATTTATGGCATGTTAAATTGGCGCTCCGAGTATGGCAATATGAAATGTGGCATTTCGAAGGGAAGGAGCGCCTAACACCACAAAGTGCATCGATATATTCTCGCAGCATTTTGACGTCTGGCACTCGGAAAGCCATATTTGCCCCCGCAACGTGCAAGTCTGTTATAATATTTCGGCTAATGGAACCCTGCAGCTCCTGCTGCAGCCATAATGGCAATCACCTATGGTGTATCCCATATCACACTGCTCATATTTGACGGTCTGCCGGCGGCGGAGCTGAAAACTCGTTGCAAATATGCAAATTCCAGTGCCCCACCTGCCTAATGCACCGAAATGCATTTGGAATTGGGTAATTTTACACATGCAGCGCCACAGGCGACATTCTGGGCTTAAAAATGCATTTTGGCTTTTGGATCGGACAGATAGAAATGTTTGAGTGGGGGTTTCGGCGGCTTGGGGTTCGGGGTTCGGGGACGGCGGCTGAGGGATAACCCCGTCAGGCTGAATAATCAGGACCATCAATCAGGACTCCGAGCCCTGTACACCTCATTAGGCTAATCGTACAATTGCGCACGGCCGGACACACACAAAAACATGGGTTAAGGCGGGGCACTACGGAAAACCGTGGGATCGCAGTTGGCGTGGTGTTTGGGGCAGTGAAAGTGGGCTTAACCGCACCGCAATTTGCCCTCGTGCGCTAAACAATATTTCATTTTAAGAGTTGACTTTTCACGCTTGCCGACAGGAGGCTTAACATTTTAAATCCGTCGTGGCGCCGCCACAAGGACTTTCCCGCAGTGTCCTTTATTTCATTAATGTGCATAAGTATGCCTTTGTGAATATGTAATCGGCTGGTGGAGTCAGCGGACATCTATATAAATATATACTTAATAATTGTATTTTAAAATATGGAAAGTGAGTTTTCAGAAATCGCTTCCTGCGAGAAGTGCAGAGTGATTGTTATTCAAGTGTTTTGTTTTGAACCCAATGTGTTCCCAGTTTTCTGAGGAGCACTCAGTGCGCAGAATCTCCGGAAAGGGGGACAGCATCCACAGTTTGGCCAACGGCAGCTTCAGTCCTCCACAGATGGTCGGCAATAACAGTTGAGCAGCGGCCCCCTTTTGGGGGCACAAAATACTGAAACCAAAATGAAAACATCGAAAATTTGATAAATGGAATTAGGCCTGATGATGTTATACAAATTGATACTTGAACAATGCTATTTTGCTTTTTATTTCGGCTTTACATTAACAAAAGCCACTCATACGCACTGTTGGCAGTTCGGTTTCCATTTACTGCACAATTGGTTTTAATTGATCTAGAAATTCCATTTAAAACCCATTTTAAGCCTAACATATCACATGACACATGCAAAAATTGTCTGTCGAAATGGATAGTAATTGGATTGTTAATCAAAACAGGAACTATTGTTATGTTACATTTAAGAAAAAACTTCTGAGTGCTAATAATACCCACTCCACCGTTTCTACCAAATCTGCCATATTTGATATCCTTCTGCGATTTGAAGTTTGATATAGGGAACTGGAATGCATAAATTGCTGGCGAAATAGAGAATTTTCCCGAGTGCAGCAGTTATTAAACCAAAACCGAAGCTTCCAGTGGTATTGCAATAAATTTGTGGGCCAGTCAAATGAATGTGACAGTACAGGAAATGATGTATTTTGCATCTATTTATTAGGTGATTTGATGAACTTGGCCTACCCCAAATATATCCCTATGATTTTCGCATTCACTTCGAATTTGATGGAACTAAGCGCTAATTAAACGACAAATAAAGCTGAGCTGCAAATAAATCGTTGGCCATTCATTTTAGCGCCTCCTGCGCGTCCTGAATGTCCTGGATGTCCTGGATGTCCTGTTCTGCAGAGCGACAGGGAGGGATGGAGGGATGAAGAGAGAGAGAGAAAAGTCAGTGCGATCGGCGGGGAATAGGAATCGCAGCTTTTCCTAATCTCCTGGCTTTATCCGGCGTAATAATAACTACTTTCAGGGGCTTTTCCTTAAGGACTTGGCTCGCTATCTCGGCCCGCTTTGTTCTACCCTCTTTTAGTGTTTCAGCTTTTTTTTCTGTTTCCTTTGCGTGACAGCTC